GCAGCAAGAAAGAGCCAGACAGAGTCACCAAGGCATTTCCTGAAAAGAGAGGTCCCCAAGAACAGGTGGGCTGATGGCTGAAAGAGCCTCGGGTTCAGTGACACAATGTCAGTGGGCTGCAGAGAGCTGAGGAGGAGGTGAAGCAATGACAGCTCTGTTGAGAATTTGCCATGGTGTGGGAACAGGTTAAAGATGAGAGGCAGAAGGGTGGCTGGAAGGGAGAAAGATGGGTCTCGGGAAGGTCAAGAGGAAGGGTGGGCTGTGGAGTGAGTGGAAAGGTGAGAAGGTGGGTGTTACAGTCTGTCCCTCCCAAATTCATGCAGGAGTGTAATCTCCAAAGTCTTGTGTTAATAATATTAGAGGTGGGGCCTTTGGGGAGCAGCCAGATAAGGTCATTAGGGTGGTTCCCCTGTGATTAAATCCTGTTGGCTTCATAAGGAGAGGGAGAGACCACACAAAAATGTCACCTGCACCTACCATGACCCGATGCAGCCCAGGGGTCCTCTCCAGAGCCTGGGCCATGCTGTTCAGACCTCTTCCTCCAGAACCATAAGCCAGAATAAACCTTGTCTTTATAAAGTAGCCTCAAGTATTCTGTTTCAGTAATGCAAAGCTGATTCAGTGAGATAGTTAGCTTTAAGATTTTGCAGAGCTGCTGTGGGTGATGAAAAGGACTAGGCCATAGGAGTGAATGGCAGAGGGGACAGAAGCGAGGCACCAGGAGACTGAACACCTTGGTCATCCTCAGTAGTCTGGAAGTCAAGAGGGAAAAAGTACCATGGTTCACTGAACAAGGGAATATGAGGAACAGGTCTAGCAGGTGCTTGATCCTGGATGTGTGCCTCAAAGAATTGGTCTTTTCAAAGGTATGGTAGCTGAGATCTTAGCAGAGGAAGCGACTTGCCAAGGCCAGCCAACCAGGATGCAGCCTGAACTGCACCCCAATGTCCTGGCAGGGATGCACGGTGCTCCCTGGCCAGAAGGTGGAAGGGTTGGTGCCTGTGTAACTACCACTCAGCTACCTGTGCACCTGAGGGGGTCCTCCACACATCGGTTTTGTGACTACTACATCTCCTTTCAACACAGTGCTCTCGACCCCCTCAACCTTCCCCCTGGCCCAGTACTAGGGTAGAACCAGGGTCACTGGACCTCTGAGCTACATCCCCAAGCTTTTTTATTTGTTAAGTTTTTATTGGAGAGGCCTCTTCCTCTCAGTCCCATATTGAACTTGAGTTGGAAGAGGCGAGTCTGGCCTCAAAATGGAGGTAAAGCTGCTGCCCGGTCACCCCCAGCCCGACGGACTCTGGCCATCGCGGCCTCCACTGCCGGGGGGAGGAGGGCCATGATCCAGAGGAACCAGAGCAGTTGAGGAAGCTGTTTATTGGTGATCTGAGCTTCGAAACTACAGATGATAGCTTAAAAGAACATTTTGAGAAATGGGGCACACTCACAGATTTTGTGGTAATGAGAGATCCCCAAACAAAACGCTCCAGGGGCTTTGGTTTTGTGACTTACTCTTGTGTTGAAGAGGTGGATGTAGCAATGTGTGCTCGACCACACAAAGTTGATGGGCGTGTAGTGGAACCAAAGAGAGCTGTTTCTAGAGAGGATTCAGTAAAGCCTGGTGCCCATCTAATAGTGAAGAAAATCTTTGTTGGCAGTATTAAAGAAGATACAAAAGAATGTAATTTGAGAGACTACTTTGAAAAGTATGGCAAGATTGAAACCATAGAAGTTATGGAAGACAGGCAGAGTGGGAAAAAGAGAGGATTTGCTTTTGTAACTTTTGATGATCACGACACAATTGATAAAATTGTTGTTCAGAAATACCACACTATTAACGGGCATAATTGTGAAGTGAAAAAGGCCCCTTTTAAACAAGAGATGCAGTCTGCTGGATCACAAAGAGGTCGTGGAGGTGGCTCTGGCAACTTTATGGGTCGTGGAGGAAACTTTGGAGGTGGTGGAGGGAATTTGGCCATGGTGGAAACTTTGGTGGAAGAGGAGGCTGTGGAGGTGGAGGTGGTGGCAACAGAGGTAGTTACGGAGGTGATGGTGAATATAATGGATTTGGAGGTGATGGTGGGAACTGTGGCAGTGGTCCTGGTTATAGCAGTAGAGGAGGCTACGGTGGTGGTGGACCAGGATATGGAAATCAGGGTGGTAGATATGGTGGAGGAGGAGGAGATGATGGTTACAATGAAGGAGGAAATTTTGGTGGTGGTAACTATGGTGGTGGTGGAAACTATAATGACTTTGGAAATTATAGTGGTCAACAGCAATCAAATTACAGACCCACGAAGGGGGCAGTTTTGGTGGAAGAAGCTCTGGTAGTCCTTATGGTGGTGGTTATGGATCTGGTGGTAGAAGTGGTGGATATGGTAGCAGAAGGTTTTAAAAACAACCGAAAGGGGCTACAGTTCTTAGCAGGAGATCGAGGAGTTGTCAGGAAATCTGCAGGTTACTCTGAGACAGTCGTCCCAAATGCATTAGCGGAACTGTAAAAATCTGCCACAGAAGGAACGATGATCCATAGTCAGAAAAGATACTGCAGCTTAAACTGGAAACCCTTCTGGTTCAGGACTGTCATAGCCACAGTTTACAAAAAGTGCAGCTATTGATTAATGCAATGTAGTGTCAATTAGATGTACATTCCTGAGGTCTTTTATCTGTTGTAGCTTTGTCTTTTTCTTTTTCTTTTCATTACATCAGGTATATTGCCCTGTAAATTGTAGTAGTGGTACCAGGAATAAAAAATTAAGGAATTTTTAACTTTTCAATATTTGTGTAGTTCAGTTTTTCTACACTTTAGTATAGAAACTTTAACAAAATGCAGTTTTGAAGGTGTTTCCTTGTGAGTTAACAAGATCATTAATTACTATTTTGTATGAATTTTGCTAAAGTTAACTGTAAAGAAACACCTACTGACTTGCAGATAAAGGGGAATAAATCTATTCTCCCCATTTCAAACCATGATACAAATGGGCACTGACACGTGGAGAGAATAATTTGTATGTTTGCAATGTGTATTTTAGATAAAATAGGATTGAGTGTTTAAATTAGCATATTTGTGAATTTAATAGCATTAAGATTACTTTCAAATGAAAAAAATCTCAAAATTCTTAAAAAAAAAAAAAAGTTTTTATTGGAGAGTCTTGCTAAATTCCCTAGGCTGTGCTCAAACTTGCAACCCTTCAGCGGCCCCCCACACCCCCGAGCCAGTTGCTGAGATTATGGGCTGCACCACCACCTGGCTCCACTCTCTCTTCATCTCTCTGTGTGTGTTTTAAGTGTGCGTGTGTGTGTGTAAGGGTAAAAACACCCTGTCATTTTCTGTCTGGTTAGGAAAGTAGCTCCGAAAGGCACTGGCAATTACGGCTGGCACTCACTTCTGCCTGGGCATGCTGGATAATTGTGCTTGGGTGGAGACCTCGCTGACTGGTGCTAGAAGCCTCCTGCAGGACAGCAAAGCCAGGCTTCCTGAGAGAGACTGCACTGAGCTCCTCGCTGAAAGATTTTCATCTGTGATGCAACTGCTGTCGTTTGCAAAGTCTTTTCTTCCTGTTTTTAACCAAGAATTTGAGGTTTGAAAGGCAAGGCATGACTGTTTTTTGAGGACACTGGTTCCTGAAATTCGCTTTCCTATAGGCATCCCTGGCGGGAGGGAGGCTGTAATCACCCTCGGATTCTTTTATGGCCATGTTAGGGCCTAACCTGCCTCCAGGAGGGGGAAACTGGTTCGGTCTGGTTTTAAGTGCCCTCTTGGATTAAAAGGCACCATTCCAGCTCAGCAGTGGGCTCTGAAAAGCAGCCGGAAGTGTAAACATAGTCTGGCACCTGCAACATCTATACCCTGCCCATTGTCAAAAAACTCAAGACTGAGCCAAGGATTTAGCTCATTGGCAACGCGCCTGCCTCCTGAGTTCGATCCCTGGTTCTGGGAAAAAAAAAAAACAAACTTGGACACAAGTGGAATTTTTCTTTCATTTGGGTAAATGTGTCACAATGCCGTTGTGACAGATGGAAAAATCCTATGTAGGGCACGCAGCAGCCTATCAGGCACGTAGGAAGGACTCCGAGGGGCTGTCTGGCACCGATGGGTTGATATGAACCCATCTCACCTCTCGGTGAATTATTCATGTGCACTTCCTGGAAAGTAAGTTCCTGCTTAACTATCCCGGTCGTAAACCGCAGAGCTCACCAGCAAGGGTGAGAGCTCACTGCAGCAGCGGTTCTCGGCGCGCGTCCCCAGGCCCAGGCGCAGGGTTAGGTCCCGGGGGGCGCGCGGGGCCTGGGAATGGGAGTGGCCAGACCGAGCCTTCCCTCCACCCATGCTCCCACCCCACCCTTCTCGGGCCGAGGACGTGGACCGTCGCGGGCATCCTCCGAGCCTTACCCTGCGAACCCCGGCGCTCCCCTTCTACACTCAACCCACCCACCGCGGGCCCAGCAAGGATGGCCCTGCCCCTGTCCTTGGTGATCTGACCCAGGGTCGGAGAAAGCCCAGCTCGTGGTTCGGCGGCCGGGCCTAGCGCATCCTCGCCTCGCCGCTTTCGCCCTCTGGCTCGCAGCAAAAGAGCGCGCCGCCCTGGGTGGTCCGGACCCAAGCTAGGACCCCGGAGATCCCGGGGGAGGGGCCCAGCTCTTCCGGGCCCGTCGGGTCACGTGGCCCGCAAGGCCCCCACGAGCTGGTCACGTGACGGAGGCGCGCGGTTGCCTAGGCAGCGGCGGGGGCAGGGCGGAGGCGGGGCCGAGGGGGACCCCGCGCTCCGGGCGGAAGAGGGGGGGGGCGCGCTCTGCGCCCCAGCCGGGCCGCAATGCCACACAGCCACACTCCCCCGCCACCGCCTGCTGCGAGTTCTCAGCTGAAGCCGGGCACGGCAACTAGCGCAGCTCCGGTGAGTGCTCCGGGCGGATGCGCCCACCTATCCCTCGGCCGCAGGGAGGCAGGCAGGGGAGAGCTCGAGGGGGGATCCCCGCACAGATTGGGGTGGGGTGGATCGGGGATACTTGACCGGAAAGGAACGAGGCTTGGTCCTGGGCGGTTTCGGTGGAGCAGATAGAGGAAAAGATGGCCAGGGGAGGAGAGGATGGCACCTGGCGTCTCCTAGTCCCGTGGGATCCCGGGCGCAATGCGGTGCCCACAGAATCTGAGCTCTGCGGCCGCTGAGGCTTCTCTAAGGGAAGAGGCAGAGATGCAGGTGGACGTCCCTAGGAGCCCCCCTCCCCCACGCCGGTCTGTGACAGACATTTCCCGTGCCCCAGATGTTCAGAGGAAGTCATGACAGACGCACTCCAGAGCCTGTCTCCTGGAGCTGTTTCAAACCAGCCTGCCACGGAAAATCCCTAATCTTGAGAGAGAGAGAGAGAGAGGGTCACCGTTTTTCTACAAGACTCTTCTGTGCTCCTCACAAAGACAAAAGCAAAAAAACCCAGAAGGTATAGCCAGGAGAGCATCCTCTGGAGCCAGGGCTATCTGACAAATGTCGCCTCCATCTTGTCCCATCCCACCCCCCGCTGAGCCTGGAGAGTAGGGACCAGACTGCTTCACCCCTCAGGCTGGGTAGGCCTGGGCTGGAGGATGGAGGATGGATTTGAGTTCCATCCCAGCTGGTCCCTTGAGAGGAGGTCACTTCAGGACCAGCAGGGTTGTCGTAAGACCCAGCCCCAGGCAGACAGACAGCCCTTTCTGCTGTCCCCACCCACTCGGGGACATCCATGGCCCAGCTACTTCCTGGAGATGGCCCCGAAGCTCTGTATCTCTAGTCTCTGGCAGACTGGCATAGTTCACCGACCCTGGTGGCCCCTGGGCTTCCCTCCCTGGCCCACACAGCCCACCAGGCCCTCCTCAGTCTCCCAGTCCTCTCACTGGGATATGTGGTGGTCCCAGCCCAAATGGACCCAGCAGTGCTGGACTGTTCCCACCACCAGCTCTTTCCATGCCCCTCAAGCAGGGACAGCCAGAAAAAATCCAGTGTAGCCGTGCTGCCCTGGGCTCCAAGTGTCTTCCACCCTGGTCTCCCTGACCCCCAGAATGGGAGTCATCCCACCTGTGCTCCCGGAGCTGGTCTTTGGGACCCTCAAAGACCCTCCATGTGGGGAGCATTCAGTCTTTGAGGGAGCATTCCTCTTTGCCAACCTGTCTTCACCACCCACATCTGAGTCCCCTAACCTGGCTCCTGGGGGCTTCCTGCAGGGTACCTTTGGTTTGCCTAGCAGGAGGAAGTCAGGCCTTCTCTGCTTCCTCTCCCTCCCCTGTACCTTAGCTCACCAGGTGAGTGTCACCCCCTTGTCTTGCTTTTCTGCTGGGCAGTGAGTTCCCTGCAGGTGGAGATTCTGCCTCTTTTACTTTTCGTGCTAGGAACCAAGTATAGTAAGGTTCTGTGGGATGGGATGCTGAGAGAACGAGGGTTAGACCCCTATTCCCCACTTGCTCAGTCCTGCTGGCTCAGTTCTGCTCTGTGTAGGGGAAAGGAAAAGAGAAAGTACAGTTCCAGATTATGACATTTTCAGTTATTTGAAGCTAACCAACTGATTGGTTAGTGAGCAACATTTCTCTGAATTCCTCCCCCAAGGGAAGGGACATTCTAGCGATGGAGTGCTTGGATGCAGTGCTGCTGGCTGCAGATGTGAGCGAGGAGATGTGACCCAGGCGCCCCAGTTGGCAATCCTATAAATGACCTGGTAATTGGCATCCCCTGGTAGATACCGAAGGGGCTGTTCCCTGGGGGTCCTGATGGCTGTCCAGTAAGAACTGTGGCGCTATAGCCCAATGGGGAACAAAGAGGAAGCCAACCTGCAGGCCTTCCCTTAGGAGCTTGCTGGGAATTGGGGTAGATGCATGAAGTGGGAGACACTTCCTTCGCTGCTGACCTTGGTAAACACCCCTTTCTACCCCAGCCACATTCCTGGGACCTAGGCACTCAATATGTTCCTAATAGCTTTAGGCAGATTTGCCATGGGGCCTGGTGTGCCTGAACAGAGAAGTTACTATGTGACATCAGGGCAGCTGCAAGGTGCCTGTGCCCTTGAAGCACACCCTGAAGATTAATTAGAGCTGATCCCTCCCAGCGTTCGGCTGCACAGGAGCCCACCAATCCCCTATGCTATTACTGGGGATTTGGGGTTAATTTCACAGATCTCTGCACATCAGTCCTTCTGATCCATGTTATTGTCAAACTCGATGTTTAGCAGAGGTGACTCCGGGGTCTCCAGCATCCTTTTCCCCTTAAAATGTGCTCACATCACTTGGTGGATTTTGTTTTTCATTTTGCTAAAGGTTTCCCATTACAACCTGGAACTGGCTCTGAGTTACATACATGAAGTATTTGATTTTAGGGGGAACTATACTGATTGAGTTGAAACCGGGCATGGTGTCACCTGTCTGTGATCCCAGCATTCTGGGAGGCTAAAGCAGAAAGATCTCAAGTTCAAGCCCAGCCTGGACAATTTAGCAATTTAGCGAGACTCTTTCTCAAAATTTAAAAAAGTCTGGGGAGGGCTGGGGATTTAGCTCAGCGGTTCCAGCACCTACCTCACAAGCAGCAAGGTCCCGCGTTCGATCCCCGGTACCAAAAAAAAAAAGTCTGGGGATGGGGGATGTAGCTCAGTGTGAAGGCCCTGGATTCAAGCAATACAAAAAATAATTAATTAATTAAAACTAAATTGGATTTGAGAAGCTAGCTGCTACTTGCAAGCATTCATTCTGTGGTTGGCATCTGGACATTGAACACAGTTTTGAGTCTTTGGCTGCATTATTTTTTTCTTTTGATACCAGGGATCGAACTCAGGACCTTGAGCTTTCGAGGCAGGCATCGGAACCACTGAGCTAAATCTCTGGCCCATGGCTGCATTATTTTGTGAGGAGTCCTGTAGGTGGGAAATTCTCACTCTGAAAATAAGGGCATGAGATCAGAAAGGTAGATGGCAGGGTCAGAATCTCATGAGGGAGTCAAATCTAAGCGTCCAAAGCTTAGGTTCCAGGCTCCTCACCACTTCCCCCTGCTGGGGATGGAACCCAGGCCTCGAGTGAGCCAGGGCTGTGCTCCTACAGAGCCACACCCAGCCCCCAGGCTCTTTCTGAACTGCTGTAGCTCCCTGTCCTAATAGATAAGTCCAAAGATTTGGTGCTGGATACTTTTGGCCAACATTTGAATTCCATGCACTTGGGAGCCATGCCGGTTTGGAGCCTGGGCTTCCTTGAGCATGGACTGGGGGCAGATTCCAGCTTTGCAGAACAACTTGGCTGTGATGCTGTCTGGGAATCCATGCCTGACCCCCCTCTTCTGCAGGTGGTTTCCACATTCTGGCTATGGACAACCTCACAGGGCCCCACAGGCATGCCGCCTTTGGACACCAGGGTTCTCTGGGCCCTGGGGAAGGTGAAATGGGCTGGAGTCTGGCTCTGCAAGGCCACATGCTGGCTAGGATGCCTGAGCTGTCTCTCTCACCCCCAGCCTGGCTCCCACCATGAGCGCTGAGCTCAATGTGCCTGTGGACCCCTCCAACCCTGCCTGCCCTGAGCCTGGCCATAAGGGCATGGATTACCGGGACTGGGTCCGTCGAAGCTACCTGGAACTTGTCACCTCCAACCATCACTCGGTGCAGGCCCTGTCCTGGAGGAAGCTATACCTGAGCAGGGCCAAGCTGAAGGCCTCCAGCAGGACTTCTGCCCTCCTTTCCGGTTTCGCCATGGTGAGTGCAGCCCAGCGACACTCCCTCTGCCCCCTGGTATTGTCCTCCAAGAGCACCACCCTGCTCTGTCCACAGTGTGGTGGCTGGGGGGAACCCAGGAGAGCCCCAAGCCCCAGAGTCCTCAGAAGCCTGCTGTTATGTTCACATACGGCATTTGCCAGGCAAGGAGGGGCATGGGAGAAATTGAAGAGCTTCTGGGGACAGGGTTTCTTGTGGACAGGCACTCATATATGTCCTATCCTGGCACCACCCAACAGTCTGGAGACTTCAGCAGGAACTCAGGGATGGATTGGGTTAGCCCAGCTGGGGACGCAGACAATTGCCAAATGTGGCTTCATCCAGGGTGACCCAGAGAGCTTTTGGCCTGGCTCCCGGCTGCCACTTTCCTTCTGAGTCATCCCAGCACAAGTCAATGTGGGTAAAGCCACGTCTGCTATTGACTCCAAAGTCCCCGTCCTAGCCCTTCAGGGAATCGCCCCAGAGCAAGCATGTCAGGGCTCAGGCCCTCGATGCTGGGTGCTGGGGTCCTGCTGGGCTGGACCTTCCCTTCCCTCCCCTCCTCTGCTCCTCTTCTCCCCTTCCCTGTACCAGATATTCCCAGCCCCTTTAATATATTTTACAGTATTTTGAGACAGGGTCTCACTAAGTCACCCAGGCTGGACTCAAATTCACAATCCTCCTGCCTCAGCCTCCCAGAGTGCTAGGATTATAGGCATCCACCACCAGATTTCTTTCTTTATATAAAAACAATCATACTTCTGTAGCCCACAGCCTTGGTTGTTAAATTGGCAGTGCAAATTTAACTAAAAAGCCAGCAGAGTGAACCACTGTGGCCACCCGGGTTTGTGCAGTCATCAGGCTGGCTGAAGCCATGCTTGGAGACAGGTGCTTCCTGCCTAGAGAGCAGGAGAGGCCCGACTTTGCACAGGGTGGGCAGAGCTCACCAGCCTGGAGGCGGTGCATTTGTGTTTAGTTCTGCAGTGTGAAGAAAAGGCTTATTATTTAGGTCTTGCTTTTTGTTTCTTTGTAGTACTGGAAATGGAACCCAGCATACCTTCTAGGCAAGCATTTTACCACTGAGCTCATCCCTAGCCCTTTTCCTATTTTTTGTTTTGTTTTTTTGGTTTTTTGGGGGGGGTGTTGGTACTGGGGATCGAACTCTGGACCTTGCGCTTGTGAGGCAGGCAGCAGAACCACTGAGCTAAATCCCCGGCCCCTTTTTCCTACTTTTTCATTTTGAGACAGGGTCTTCCTAAATTTCTCAGACTGACCTTGAACTCATAATCCTCCTGCCCCAGCCTCCCAAGTTGCTGGGATTGCAGATGTGGCCACCACACTGAGGTCTTTGCATTTAATTTTTTAAATATAAGCCCATTAGTGCGGCATATAACAAAAGTATATAATCAGGTAGTGCACAGCTTTGGCAACTAGTGATTTTCTTCCCATGGCTTTTATTATGTTAAAAATACTTTCATGCTGGGCGGGGGGGCATGCCTGTAAGCATTTGAGGGGCTGAGACAGGACAGTTTGAGGCCACCCTAAGATACATAGCGAGACCCTGTCTCAAAAAAATAAACAAAAAATATTCTCAACCGGGCTTGGTGTTGCACACCTGTAATCAATCTCAGCACCCTGTGGGGCTGAGGCAGAAGTATTACAAATTCAAGCCCAGCCTGGGTTCAATTCCCATTACCACAAGAAGAAAAGAAAAAGAAAAAAACCTTTCAAGCTTAGTTTAGATGCCACTATTAAAATTGAAGATCAGCTGGGCACAGTGGTACATGACTATAATTCTAGTCAATTGGGAGGCTGAGGCAGGAAGATTGCAAATTCGAGCCCAATCTTGGCAATTTAGTGAGATTGTCTCAAAATAAAATAATTTTTTAAAAAGGGCTGGGCTGGGTATTTAGCTCAGTGGTTCTGCCACCTGCCTCTCAAGTGCAAGGACCTAAGTTCGATCCCCGGTACCAAAAAAAACAAAGGGCCTGGCATTTAGCTCAGTGGTTTCACCGCCTGCTGCACAAGCGCAAGGACCCGAGTTCGATCCCTGGTACCAAAAAAAAAACCAAACAAAAAAAACAAAGGGCCTTGAGTTCAATCCCCAGTACTATACAACAAAAGAAAACAAAAACCTGGAGCTTATTTTCTCATTTCACAGAATTGTGGGATTGCATTGGATTTTTCTGGCCTGTGTTTTTTTTGTACTGGGGATCGAACTTGAGTCCTTGAACTTGGAAGGCAGGCGGTGGAACCACTAAGCTAAATACCTGGCCCTTGTGGGGTTTTTGTTTTTTTTTTAGTTTTTGGTTTTTTACTTTTTGGAAAACTGAGAAATATCATAGGACTTAGTATGGTAAGATAGTTTCCTTTCCATATGAGGCCCTACTCTCGGAATTTACTTCCAGTTTGCAGTTTTTTGTTTGGTTTTTTTTTTTTTTTTTTTGGTACCAGGGATCGAACTTGGGACCTTGTGCCTGGGAGGCAGGTGGCAGAACCACTGAGCTAAATCCCTGGCCCCTGTTTGCAGTTATCTTTTTGGACCCAGCCCTTCCAAACATTTGGCTTTCCAAACTTTGGGAGATTTCATTTTTTTTGTTTTTGTTTATTGGGTCATTTTGTTTTGTTTTGCTTTTTGCACCACTAGGGATTGAATCAGGGGCACTCTACCCCTGAGCCACAGCCCCAGCGCATTGTATTTTATATTTTGAGACACGGTCTCATTAAATTACCCAGGCTGGCCTTGAACTTGGCAGTCCTCCTCCTGCCTTGGCATCCTTGTGTTTCATCCAACAAAATGCTCAGCCAAGGTGAAGGCTTCAAAACCACTAATGGAGATTTGCAGACAAGCCTTGGGAATAAAGTTATCTAACAGGGAGTGAGAATTCTGGAGAAGTGGAGGCCTTCTGAGACTTTATGGCAGCCTTCAAGGTGGCAGGCACTGAGAGGCAGAGACGGAGACCCAAGTGCCCCAGGAGTGCTGTCTGTCCTCACTGTGGCCACGGCAGGCGCGCTTGCTAGTAGCAATTCAGTTCTGCCCCGTTTCTGCTCTATCTCTGGTACCAGCAGGGGCTTTCTTAAACTTTTAGGGAATACATTTCAGAATTTTTAGGGAATACAGCCTCGTCTGCAGGTTCTCTCTCAGGGCGGCAGCCACAGACCACTGTGTTCTGTACACCTATTTAGGGTGGTGGGAAGCAAAAGGATGGAACAGTGGGGAGGCTTGGGGTAGGCGACCCCATTAGTGCACCTTCGCAATTAGATTAGACTAGATTAGATTAGATTAGTACACCACCCTTAAAGGGAAAACTAGTAACCAAGGCTGTCGCTGAGTCAGAGCAAGGATGGGGACCCACGGAAACAGGCAGTTTCCCAGGCCCAGTCCCTTGTTTTTATTAGTATTCCTTGATTGGAATTGCAAAGCTGTTCTTTCATCCAACTACAGGGGCTGGTGCCCAACCTTAAGCTCATTTCTTCATGTTTATCCTCCCTTAACACTGAGATCAGTGATCCGCAGCCACCCCATAAAAATCTCTGCATAAACACAGTGAAAAATGTCCTCCTGGCCTTTCTTCCCTGGAGGCGGAACACAACTGCTTGTGTGAGCCCTCTCCTGCCTTCTAACCAGCTGTGTTTCCTATTTTGGAGGCCTCCAGTTTTCAGTATCCTTTGGTTGGGCCATATCTTTTGTGGGTAGCAAGAGTCTACCCAGGCCACTGGGGCACTGAAGAAAGGCCACCCGTCAGCGCATGTCATGTCACTGTTTTTGGGGGGGATTCTTTTCACAAAAGCCCCAGCCATCATCGCTGCTGTGTTGCCATTCAGCTCTGGTCCACTAGGACTGTAGTATCTTCCTTACCAAAATGTTCCATCACCAGCAAAGGTGAAGTAAAAGGATGAAGATCTCACTCAAGATGTGGTAGTTGTTAAGCAAAGTTGTGAAATCTTATTTACTTGGTATTTTTTGAGACAAGGTCTCTCTTGGTAGTCCAGGCTGGCCTAAAACCCACCCTAACTCAGGTGGTAACTCAGGCAGGGCTGGAACTTTCAATCCTCCTGCCTCAGCCTCCCAAATGCTGGGATTATAGGTGTGCACCACCACACCCAGCTTTCTTGTAGATTTTGGGAAATGGATGGTCAGATCTTGGAGGCAAATGTGTGGGTGAAAGAGAGAAAGAGAAAGGGAAAGAAAGAAGAAGGAGGAGCAAACGAGGAGAGAGAGAGGGAAATAAACCCTTAAAGAACAGCTGAAGCTGGGCATGGTGGCACACTCCTGTAACCCCAGTACTTACAAGGCTGAGGCAGAAGGATTGCTGCCAAGTTCAAGGCTAGCCTGGATACAAACCAAGACCATATCTCAAAACAAAAGAACTGCTGAAAGACTTAAACCCAGCAGCCCCTTGATTCCCCCTCCATGGTCCTGAGTTGCACAGAGAGACTGCCCTTCCCTGTGTGCATTTCAGACCCTTTCCAGCCCTGTGACTGCAGCCATAGCTCCTCTGATTGTTGGTGCCTAGCCTCCTTTCCATGGCTCCCACTTCTGGGCGTTAGAAGCTGGCCACCTCCCCCTCCTTGGGTCTCAGCTGGGGGACGCATCTGTGGCCCATAAGAGGCTGTCCAGGTGCGCAGCCCTGAGTCGGGAGACCTGCAGGAGCCTTTGTTTCAGGACTTTGAAGGCTCTGAGTGTGGGCCAGCCCCCTCCCTCCAGGACACCTGAGGCCCTGTTGAAGTGCAGCTTCACCCACCCTGCCCCACCCCGCCCTCTTCACCCACAGGTGGCCATGGTGGAGGTGCAGCTGGAGACACAGTACCAGTACCCGCGGCCACTGCTCATCGCCTTCAGCGCCTGCACCACAGTGCTCGTGGCTGTGCACCTGTTCGCCCTTCTCATCAGCACGTGCATCCTGCCCAACGTGGAGGCTGTGAGCAACATCCACAACCTCAACTCCATCAGTGAATCTCCACATGAGCGCATGCACCCCTACATTGAGCTGGCCTGGGGCTTCTCCACTGTGCTCGGCATCCTGCTCTTCCTGGCTGAGGTGGTGCTGCTCTGCTGGATCAAGTTCCTCCCTGTAGACGCCAGGCACCAACTCAGCCCCACGCCCAGCAATCACACAGGCTGGCAGGCCGCCCTGGTGTCCACCATCATCATGGTGCCTGTGGGCCTCATCTTCGTGGTGTTCACCATCCACTTCTACCGCTCACTGGTGCGCCACAAGACTGAGCGCCACAACCGAGAGATCGAGGAGCTGCACAAGCTCAAGGTGCAGCTGGATGGGCAGGAGCGCAGCCTGCAGGTGGTGTGAGGGGTTGGGGTCTCTGGGAAGGCAGATGGTGCGGCAGGCTGCTTAGACACTGCCACATGGGCCAAGGCCAAAGTTTCCTGCTGTTCCAGTGCCATAACAACCTGGATGCTGGTCCCTAGAGCCAGCTCGGTGATTCGGGGGCTCCGTGGCTAAGAGCCACCTCCCTGGCCCTGGGCACTTCCTCAGTTGGGGGAAAGCCCAAGAAACCCTGTCCCTGGCAAGGCTCCAGGCAGCACCAGTGTTCATGGGGGCTCTGAGAGTGGCCTGGAACCAGGACTGTGAGTTCGAGGTTTTGCCCCCAGATCCAAAACTGGACTTCGTGGCTGCCTGCTGGGTCCCAGGCCCATGTGATTAGCAGGGCTGCTGGCCCGGTTTGGTGCTTTCCTCCCAGCCCCGGAGGGAGCTGAATGGCCTGGCTTGTGGCGGGAAGGCAAGAGCCAGGGTCACAGTCAGCTCGAGAGGTGTAGGTGCTGCGGTGGGCATCAGAGTTGTCAGGCTCTGTGGGAGGTTTCCCGGGAGGGAGGCCTGGGTGAGGTTGAGGAGGCTGAGTTAGTTGAGGGGCGTTCACACTAGGCTCAGATCCCCCTCCAGCCAGCCTGGGGCCTGGGCCATACTGACTCACCGAGCCACCAGCTGGAGGTGACCACAGTCCAGGGCGTCCTCCTCTGAGCCTAAGTTTCCACCCCACTGGACTGCATGAACAGCAGGGCAGGACACCAGCCCAGCCCAGCTCCTGCTGCCTGTGGTCCCTGGTGTCAAGAGGAGATAGCTTCCTGTCTCAGCATGGCTACTGATCAGCCCCATGGGTATTGGGGCTGGGGTAGACAAATGCTCATCATGACATTGAGCACCACAGGGTCCCCAACCCATGTTTACAAGCTGTGCAGCAGGGTTCTGGCACCATCACTGAGTGTGTGGCAGACCTGAGGCTTAGGTGGGAGCACGTTGCAGCCTGAGCTGCTTCAAGACCCTGTTTACTCTGTTTTCCAGAAGTCACCTAGACAGATGCCTTGTCTTTTGCTATGTATATAAATGGTCATTTCGGTTCTTTGTGCTCCTCTTCTAGCAGATTACTGTCTTTGTGGTTTGGATTGTGTGCCAAGGGACACTGGGTGGCCTCTGGGAATGTGACATGCTGTGTCAAATCTTAGCACACGCTGAGATACTGCGGGAACCTCCCCTGTGGGTTGTGCTATCTACTAGGAGCCTGGACATCCGGTCCCCTGGGGCCAGAGCCTTGCGTGTTCGGGGCGGGTCCTACACCTCCCTGGAGGACATCTGAAGGGAACCAGTGCCTTCTGGTGTGTGCTCGCCTCTCTGGAGCTTTGGCGAAGGCTTGTCTGCTTTAATGTGTGTGTGCTTTGCTAAATAATGTCACTGTCACTCCAGGATGGCTGCTCGTGTCCTGGCAGGGGCAAGACAGGCTGGGCCTTCTGAATGAGCAGCTCTGTGGCTGGGAGGGAACGGGGCCCTTCTTCCACCTGGAGCCTTTTGATTGGACCCACTCCTGCCACCCACTTCCCCAAATCATCTGGTGCTCCTGCCCATGGTACCCAGTTGCATGGACTGTGCCAAGCTCACCCCTGTGCCAGCCCAGAGCCAGGGGTTACACCTACTCCACAGGCAGTGTCTGGGCCGGCAGAATCCACACCAGACAGCAGGTGCCTGGTGATGGTGCCACAGCAGTGGGCAGAGCCATCACCATCCAGCGCGCTGGTCAGTGATGCCCATGATCGCACGCACCCAGCTCCAGCCTTGCATGTTCTGAGGCATGGGGCAGTTAGTCTGCAGGAACAGAGATGACCCTGCTCTGGGGAACCTCGGGCCACCCCAGTTGGGAGCCAGACCGCCCTTGGGAGTGGCAGACACTCAGGTCAGCCTGGGGCACAGGAAAGCTTCTGGAGGCATAACCTGACTTTGCAGTGTGAGGGGAGAAGCCCTCATTTCATCTCTGCAGCCTGGGGCGCGGACCAGGTGCAGTAGACACGCCGGGCTGTTCCCATGCACTGTGGCCCCCACGTGCACCTGGTCCCATCTCACAGCTCAGGTGTTTCTGTTTTAGAAACGAAAGGCAGGATGGGATTAGCATCTTCAAGGAAGATCTGTTCAGGAAAAACTGTGAGACTGGTGGATCAGGGCTCTCCTGTAGGTGGCGCCTGTTGGTGCCATGGATCGTGTATGCACGACATCGTGCAGGTGGCAGATGTAACTCCTGTCCTGCGTGTGGATTTTTAACACTTGCCCTGGATTGAACTGAATAAACCAGTAAAGCTCTTCCAATCTTGGTGCTCTTGGTGGGATGTGTGCGTAGGGGGGCTTTTGCATTCAGCTTCATCCCCAACACTTTATTTTTTTATTGATACAGGGTCTCAGTTGCCCAAGCAGGACTTGTACTTGCAGTCTCCCTGCTTCGGGCCTCCCTCGGTGCTAGGATTACAGACAGGTGCCACTGTGCATGGCTCAGGAACAGCCCATCTTGGGTTAAGATGTGGCTGTGGGAGATAGCAGGGCTATCAGCTTCATGAACACTCAGCTCTGGGGACCAACTTGACTGTCATTTAGTGGGATGTTTCCTAACATGTGTTCTGAGAACTGCAGGCCGGGCCAGGGCCTGTTTGGCAAGCATGGGTTTTCTTTCCTGCTTGGCTCCCCGAGTCCCATCACCCTCCTCGGCTGCACGTTGCAGGCTCTGACCAGGGGGCAGCTCAGAGGCACAGCCCGCTGGGCAGAGGCTCCCCCAGCCTCCTGGGCTGCTTAGATGCAGCCAGAGCTCAGCCAGCCAGTGTCTCAGTGCCCAGTGAGGGACCCGGATGGGTTGATAAGCCACTCTCCCCACCCATGTGCTCCAGGAGAGGGACACAGGCAGCAGTTGTGGCGGCCCAGGAGCCCATGCCCATCTGTGGGGCACCTCTCACAGGGTTGTTTTGTGTTTTGAGACAGAATCTTGATAAGTAGCAGAGTCCTGCCTTGGCCTCCTGAGTGCTGGGATTACAGGCACAAGTTACCATGCCTACCAGTTCTCATGGGGTCTTTGCAGGATGAAGCCTGGCCAGTGGCTGGGAAGCCGATCTGCAGATGCAGGTGCCTGGTGGCTCCTAGCAGTTTTTAGCAGTGACATGAAGAGCAGGTTGATTGTGACCTTTCCTGGGGGGGCGATGCAGGCCTGTTCCCCCCAGGGGCCCTCGGCAGGTGGCGCTGAGCTGGGTGTATTTTGTCTCAGGTCCAGGCACCCTGCCTCCCCCTCTCAGCTGGAGGTGACCAGGGCAGCCACCTTTTCCAGGTGAGCACCCTCCGAAGCATGAGTCGAGGAAGGACCTCAAGGTGTCCAAGAGGGGCAGAACCTTTTTCCTACTTCCTAACAGCATTCTGGCAAGGAGAGAGGAACCAGCCTCTCCACTGTCCTCCCCATCACACCCCCCACCCTATGGTCGAGCGTGACCCAGGCTGAGTTGACTTGGGAGCTGCCACCAGCTGCAGAAGCCTGAACTGCAAATCCGCCACCAGTCCCTCGCTCTCCCTGGCCCCACAAAAGCTCCCCAGCTCCCGGGCCTGACTGGCGGGTATCTGGAGACCTCAAGGAGATGGGTAAAGGCAAATGTCATTTCGCACATATAGCAGCATTTTGAAAGTTAAATTCCCACTCCCTCCAGTGGCCACAGCACAGGTCTGAGGGAGTGACCCTGTGCGGGATCCCATCACCCAGCTCCCGACAGGGCTCACGCTACCCTCAGCATCAGGGTCAGGGGGCGTCCCCCAAAACCCAACCAGGGGATGAGAGCTGGCCCTGGTGCCTCCAGCCAGGCTGTCACAGGCCTGTCCCCAGGGAGGCAGCTCACACGGGTCTCCCTTGGAAAGAGCATGAGATCTGCAGAAGCTCGAATCCCAGGTCCTGTTGCCTCCCCCCGGGCCGGAACTCGGCCGACAGCTCCCGGAAGGTGGCACAGACACGCCGGGCCTTGATGTGCCTCCGGTGGATGCCGTGTGTCCACTGGTGCCGAGCGGCCCCAGCCAGCACCAGGAGGGAGCGGCGCGGGACAGGAATGGCCACCTCCACGTCTTGGCACGGGACAGACCGGCAGGGGGCGGTCGCACTATCCACGCTGTCCTTGGGGCTGGCAGGAGGGGCCGAACTCAGCAGCAGGTTGCCAGGGCCCTTTTGGGACATGGACATCACAGTGGGGGACAGGAGGTTGAGGCTCACCAGCCGCTCGCCCCACAGCCAGGCGTCATCCAGGTGGGGGTCAATGGCAGAGCCACGCTCCGGGCTGTAGTCCAGGTTACACTGCTCAACGGGCTGGAAGTCCTCCAGGCTGGGGTAGAGGCCCATCCTCTGCACCACCTCCCGGCTGAAGCTGGGCAGGCCCAGGAAGCCCGCCGTCTTCAGCTTCTGCTTCCGAAAGTTGACTCTGGGGCCATAGTCCTGTGGAGAGGTGTCCGAGTTTACCCATGAAATTCAGTCAAAAGGATCAAGGCATGCTTGAGTCCCTGGCCTCATATATGGGACATTCTGGAAGGAGGCAGACGCGAGGGGCCGGAAATGAATGGCTAGCAGCACTGGCAGCAAACGCTAAGGGAAAGATGAGGCAGGGAATGAGAAAATGGTGGAGGTTGGATGTCCTAGCCCTGTACCCCAGCAGGCAGAGCTGGAGACATGTAGGGAGTGTATCTGTTAAGCGGAGATCCCCAGGAGTAGGACCTGGGGAGAGAACAGCATCTCTTCCCTGCGGGGGGAGGCCACGCCCAGGCAGCAGCATCAAGCCAGTCAACACCGAGGTCGGCTGAGCCTCAGAACCTCAGGAAGGAGCCTCTGACCCACGGTTCCTCACCTGTGCTTGCGCCCTATGTATGTGCAAAACCCTGTACACATGTTCCCAGCTGCATTATTCACAGCCAAAAAGCAGAAACAAGCCAGGCGTGGTGACTCATGTCATCTGTAACCCCAGCACTTTGGGAGGCTGAGGCAGAAGGATGGAAAGTTCGAGGGCTGGGATTTAGCTCAGTGGTTCCGGCGCCTGCCTTGGAGGTGCAGGGTCCTGAGTTCGATCCCCGGTACCAAAACCAAAAAGGAAGGAGAGGAGAGAGATCGGGGCAGGAGACTGTTCTTGAAGGAGGGGAGGCACAGGTTAGGAGGTGGACAGATAGCACACGAGGGAGCGGGAGGGATGTGTCCCCCCAGGACCACGCCAGTACAAAAGGAGCAGCAGACAGGTGGCTGGGGAGGCCTCGTGAGGCGGAGTAGGAGAGAACCTCCCAGCTGGCTGGATACCACCAGGGCTGTGACAAAACTGAAGACTTGAGGGACAGAGGGTGAGGGACTGTGTGGAAGCTGGATGAGGGGAAGAGAGGGCGGGTGGGCCGGTGGGTGGTCCCAGGTCTTGTAAGCAGACAGCAGTGGACCTTGAGGAAGAGGAAGAGACACTGGTTCTTGGTGAGAGCACAGCATGTAAGAGGACAAGGGACATGATGGGGAGAGAATGGAGAGGGCTGGTGTCTGGCAGCCTCCAGCAGCCTTGGAGGATGGGGATCTCTGTCTAGAATCTGCCCTCCACTGAGCCAGCTGTGGAGAGGGGCATGGACAGCCAGGTAGCTGTGCCCTGTGAAGCAAATGCCAGACACAGCCCCCAGCAAGCCCAGCCGCCCATGCCCACCAGGGTCCCCCGAGGGTGGCTGCAGAGCAGGTAACTAAGGCCCCCGCAGCATCACGGTCCTTGGGCCGTCATACCTGCTTCCTCCGCCCAGACTGAGAGAGCTTCCAAGGGTCACAGTCCATCAAGCGCACCATCTCGGCCTCTTCCTCCCGGGTCACAAAGTCCTCTATTAGTGTCACCCCCGGAAAGGGGAAGGCCCAGCCCTCAAAGTCAGAGTCCTCAGCCCCCACGGCCCAGCCCGTGTCCACACAGTAAAGGAAGCGGTGTGTTTTCTGCAAAAGAGACACAGGTCCTGGCATGGTGTCCCCGAGCACCACTGCCCCAGCCTCGGAGGTTTCAGTGGCTCCTCCATCCCCAGCAGCCACTTGGGAAGGCGGCTGTCATCTGGGGGAAGAGTGGGCTGCCTGGGGAGGCCACAGCCCTCAAAATCTGCGGTGAATTCCTGCTCCTTTCCCTTCCCTCCCCAATCCTGCGGTCCCTCTCCACTTCACAGTGGAGGCTCAGCAGAGCTGAGGAACGAGCTCATGTGAGCATGGGTGTCATCTGTCCCCTACCCTCCGGAGGAGAGACAGGGCCTGCGGGAGCGCACCCAGGGCCGGAGTCTGAGACGTATGCTAAGCTAACCCTACAGCTGGGCCTGGGCTGGGCCCCGGGGGAAGGCAGCGCTTGGCAGGAGCCACAGGGGACGTGTCCTCCCCGCCACACACCTGCCCTACTCTTGAGCCCAAGGGTGCGCACCAGAAATTCCCTCCCAAAGGGTCGGCCTTGCCACTGCACAAGGCCTGGACTTGGGCCTGGCCACTCTGCCCAGCCCAGGCTCCCCTAAGGGTCCCTGTGCCCTGACAGCTAGTTTGGGTGGGCTGTGATGCTCAGATCTCAACTGATCCTGCTGCTCCCTCCTTTCTGTTTTGTACCCATCACTGCCACCAATCTCTCCACTCTTTCTTTCTTTCTTTCTTTCTTTTTTTTTTTTTTTGATTTTTTGAGACAATCCTACCATGTAGTTCAGTCTGGCCTGGCCTTGAACTCACTATGCAGCTCAGACTGGCCTCAAACTCACAGCAATCCTCCTGCCTCAGCCTCTGGAGTACTGGAATCACAGGCATGCGTCACCATACTTGAGTTCCCATACTCTTAATTCTGTCCCAACATCTGCCTCCAGGAGGACCCAGACTATACTCCCCTGCCCTCCCCATATCTTGCACCCCCAATCTCTTAAGGCCCTTGCTGACTGCACCCTAGTTTCCTAGGCCTGAGCCTGTCACCTCTGAGAGAGCCAGGAAGGGCCTTTCCAGATGCCCTGGCTTCCCCAAGCCACGGTGCATTTTTCTGGACCTCTCCCCAGATGTAGGCTTGGATAAGGATACTGCCCCACCATCCCCTCCCCGCCCTGAAGAGTGGGCTATGTCTGCCCAGGGTGGCGAAAGTCCCCCATCTGCAAGTCTGGAGTCTTGTTCAAGAAGGCCTGCCCCCAGCCTCAGTCCCTGCTCTGCTCTGAGCTGGGCCCTCACCTCAAGCTCCTGAACACCCTGCCTGTCCTCACTCCTGTCTGCTGCACAGCCCAGCAGCCAGGTCTCCTCGCCTGTGCCCAGGCTCCCCTCACCCCTCCATGTGTCTCTGCTCTGCAACCACCCCTGAGGCCCAGCAGTACTCTCAGGTCCAAGAAAGTCCTGAAACCATTCCTGTGAGAAACCATTCTCAAACCAGCCCCTCCCAAATGCTGTCACTGCAGCCTCCCAGCCCTACCTCCTCTCCTTCTCTCTAGCTGCCTCCTTTCGGCTTGCATCCAGTCACCCTTGACCCCGAGGCACACTGCCAGTGCTGCTCCTCCTCAGCAAGGTACCTTGGCTTCAGATACACTTTCCTGGCTCTTATTAAGAAAGATAATGACTCGCAAGCACAAGGACCCGAGTTCAATCCCTGGCACACACAAAAAAAAGATAATAAAACAGGGCATGGTGGCACATACCTTAACCCCAAAATTTGGAAGGCCGAGGCAGGAAGATTACCATAAGCGAGGCCAGCCTGGGCTACATAGTGAGTTCAAGGCCAGCCTGGACTACATAGTGCAACCCTGTCTCAAAAAACCAACCAAACAGGCTGGGGATTTAGCTCAGTGGCACAGCACCTGCCTGGAAAGCACAAAGTCCAAAAAACAAAACAAAACAAAAAATCAAAAGAGTTAATGAAATAGCTACCATCTGCTCCCACAATACTAAACACTTTGTATGGATTAACTAGTTTAATCTCAGGTCAACCCTAGGAGGAGGGCACCACAGCCACCCGTGTGGGAGATACAGGCATAGCCTGTGGAAGTTCCAGCCAGAGCCACCCAGCAGGGACCTGAGAGGCCACTAGAACTCAGTCTTGGCCTCTGTGGCCTCTCTCCTTCCACTCCTATTCCCAGGCTCCATGGCTGGCTGGGGTTACAGCTTCCTGAGCTTTGGACCAGCCTCTCCTCCATGTCCTGGGCCCTCCACATGGGACAAGATAGACTGGACAGTCTCCTGGACATCTCACTCTCCTTGTCCCACAGCCATCACTTGGGATGGTGCCACCTCCACAGGCCTTGTCCTCCCACAGCCATGGTTACTAGGACAGCTCAGACTTTCTACACTTTTTTTTTTGGTACAGGGGATCGAACTTGGGACCTTCCACTTGCGAGGCAGGTGGCAGAACCACTGAGCTAAATCCCTGGCCCAACTTTCTACACATTTAAACTGGAAGATATACATAAAATTTACTGTTAACCATTTTAAAGCGTCCAGTTCAGTGGCATTAAGTGTATTCACATCACTGTGCGACCAACACCACCCTCCACCTCCAAAGTTCTTTTCATCTTGCAAAGCTAAAACGCTGCAATCCCAGCACTTGGGAGCTGAGGCAGGAGGCTCACTGTGAGTTCAAGGGCATCCTGAACTCCATTGTGAGACCCGTCTCAAAAAAAACCAAAAATAGCTGGGGATTTAGCTCAGTGGTACCATGCTTGCCTCGAAAGCTAAATAAATGAATAAATAAAATAAAACCCTGTCCCTAGCCGAGCATGGTGCTCAAGCCTAAAATCCCAGAATTCAGGCCAGCCTGGGCTACACAGCAAGTCCTATCTCAACAAAGCAAAACAAAACAACCCTGTCCCTCTTAAGCATTCTCCTCTCCCCTAGCACCTGGCCTACATTTATTCTACTTTTTGTCTCTATGATTTTGACTACATTAGGACTTTATATAAAAGGAATTGTGTAGTCTCTGTTCTTTTGTGACTGGCTTATTTCACTTGGCATCCTCAAGGTTCATGCATGTTTAGCATGTGTCAGAATTTCCTTCCTTTCTATAGCTGAATAATAGTTCATTGTATGACTATAAACCACTTTGTATGAACATATTGAACAGTATCTTTTTTTTGTTTTGTTTGGGTTTGGTTTTTAGAAACAGGGTCTCCCTATGTAGTTGAGGGTGGCCTTGAACTAACTCACTATGTAGCTCAGATTGACCTCACTCATGGTGATCTTCCTGCCTCAGCCTCCTGAGTGCTGGGATTATAGGCGTGTGCCACCACGTTCAGCCTAGTGAACAGTTTCTGGAGATCTTGCCTTCATTTCTTTAGGATACAGACCAGGAAAGGGATTGCCAGATCATATGTAAAGTCTGTGTTAATTTGTCAGGCATGCCACACTGGTTTCCACAGGACCTTGGGTACTTTACCACACACAGGGGAAGTTTCCCCATGGGCTTCCTAGCCTCCACACCTTCATATCTGTCCCCCTATCCCCTAGAATCTTTCTAAAATCCACATCTGACTTTGTAATGCCTTTCAAACCCTCAGGAGCTCTCTGTGGCCTTCAGGACAAGTCCGGCCTGTTCAGTGGACACTTGGGTCCTGTGTGGTCAGGCCCCCTCGACCTCCCTAGCTTCATATCCCTCACCTACAGCATTTTTCCACCTTCCAAGCAATGCACTTACCCCACGCCTGCTCAGGTGCCCAGGCTGCAGCACCCTTAAAACCAACCTCTCTACTGCCAGGCCAGTGCAAGGGCTCCAAGATCTTCTTTTCTTTTTTAAAAAATTTAATTTAATTTTATCCCATCATTCCCCTTAGTGCCCCTTCTTTTTCTTTTCTTTCTTTCTTTTTTTCCCCTTCCCCAAAACATCCACTATGATGCCCAGGCTAGGCTCGAACTAGCGATCTTCCGAAGTCGCTGGAATCTACAAATTGCACCACCTTGCCAGGCCCCCAAGGTCTTTTTCATTTACTTCATTCATATATAGCTACCTCCTTGCTCATTTCCATGCAAGGGCCTCGGCCAACTTTAGTGCTCAGAGCCCTCTACCCTTTCCGTACAGTGGCTCTTAGTGGCAGTGAAGCCCCCCACAATCAGACCCAAGCGGCTAAGCCGAGGTTTGCTGAGACTCCCCCAAAGGTGGGCTTTGGGCGGACTCGCCCACGTCCCAGCAGCTTCCTTACTCCTGAGATCCCTCCTCACAGCCCTCATCCCGCAGCGTGACCACCGCGAAGACCCCAACCTGCTTTGATCCCGGCCGAGCGTAGGGTCAAACTGGACCTCAGTTTTCCCACATCTGTGGTCGCAATCCCTCTCCCAGTCCTCACCTTCGGGGAGAGCTGCCAGGGAGGGTCAACCTGGCGCTGCCTCTCGCAGATCAGACAGGTCCTGATACCCTTGCAGCCACACTCCTGGAACACCTCAGACGCCTTGGCTGCTGCCGCCGCAGCCGTCATCTCGCCGTTCGGGAGGCCAAGACGCGTGCGCTTGCGCGAGGCCTTCCGGGAGTTGTAGTCCATGTATATAAGGCGGCTTCCGCACCGCTTCCTTCCGGTCGCAGCTGCGGTGAAACTGCGCTGTGCTGTTTCCTAAGCTCCTCGCCCGTGAGGGCTGGTACCTGACGGCTGGCGGCGCGGGCTCCGGCCCCCACTGGACGCAGAAACGCCAGCAGGCCAGCACTAGACGCGCCTCCTCACCATGGGTCGCCTCACCGCGCGGCTGCTCTTGGAGCGTGGGGTACCCAAGAGCGACCGGCTGGGGAGGGTCCGGAGCCTGGAGTAAGAATCTGGCGGGAGTCAGGGCTGTGTCCGCGGGGCTCCCCGGACCCTCTCTCGGGCCCGGGTCTCCCGGGGGGAAGGAAGAAAATCTGGGGCCCTTCCCCACACCCTGCTGGTCCCCGTCATCCCTCCCTCGCCCCCGCGGAGTCTCTAATCTCTGGCGCCAAACATCTCATTAAGAGATGCGCGGGACTTTTGCAGCCCCACCTTGGCCAGGGTGGGCCCGAAGTGACCTTGGACCTCCCAGGGCTAGAATAATCAGAGGGGGGCCGGGGATTTAGCTCAGTGGTTCCGCCGCCTGCCCCGGAAGTGCAAGGACCCGAAAAAAAGAAAAAAAAAATTCAGAGGGGTTGGGCCGCACAGAAGAGCCCCCTAGAGGACCAGCAGGAGCCCTCTGGAAGGCGCCAAGAGCCTGGGTCTAAAGTAGTTAAGAGGAGGCTGTGCATGCAGGTGTAGCAGGTGAAAACGCTTCGAGACAGCCTGGGAGGCCTGGCCTGATTGCCCCCTGAGCCCTCCCACCCCACCCCAGCTTGTCCGGAATGGAGCTGCTCTCCGAGCACCTGGACCCGAAGCTGCTGTGCCGCCTGACGAAGCTGCAGGAGCTTGACCTCTCCAACAACCAGCTGGAGACCCTGCCAGCCAACCTGGGCCTGTCCCACCTGCGCATCCTCCACTGCTCCAACAACCAGCTAGGGGACGTCACCGTCTTGCGCCAGTTCCTGAAGCTGGAGGAGCTGAGCCTGGAAGGCAACCCCTTTCTGACAGTGAGGTTCCCCAACCAGTCCCATTTCCCGGAGCCAGGGCTCTGTGGAACTCAGGCTCCACTCTTTCTTCATCCCGCAGATCAATGACAACTTGAAGGTCTCCTTTCTGCTGCCCAAGCTACGGAAGATCAATGGCAAGGATGCTTCCTCAACTTGCTCCCAGGTGGAGATCCTGAACCAGGAGCTGACCATCAGGGTAAGGGCAGGGGGCTCTTGGGCCTTACAACCCTCTAAGTGTGCAGGTGTCACAGCAGGGACAGCTGGGTCACTCATCCCAGGACAGTTCAGATGTGAGTGGTGCTTTGGTTTGCCCGGCTGTAGCAAAGAGGCTGTGTTCCTGAAAGGCTTCTAGTGGGTGGTTATAGGAAACAGGGGAAGAGGATGTCACCACAACCTCTGCCGTGCATCCTTGTGAGCCACTATAGCACAAGGCGAATTAAATAATAAGACAGAAACTAGACTTAGAGTGAAAAAGCTGAGTCTTGAGGCATAATCAGTGCTTCTGATAGCAAAGACAGGCCCCCAAATGGATCCAGTATTTATTGAATCAATCATGGGAAGGAATAGGGAGCCAGGTACGTTTTGAAGGCATCTAGTGAATTACTAACGAACACCTGGCATGATGGAATCAGGCAGGGCTGTTAGGGAGGAAGCACTGCTTATCTTGCTTGGATAGAACAAACCAGTACTGGGACCTGGTGCAATTAGCAAGCAACCCATTTGGTCAGTGAGAAGCCATAATTCAGGGGAAAGGATTTTAATTGGGGTCACGATGACCTCAGCTGTGCTTAACTCAGCGGAGCCCTGCCACTTCACAGACCAGGGCCTAGGTTTCCGTGGCAGCCATTAGGGTAGGGGCCATACTCACCCAGTCCACCATCTGACATGCCCATTTGAGTCATGTAGCACTTTGGTCTGACTCCTGATATAAAGCAATATAGCCGAATTATGGAAAACAAGAAGCAGGTGCCACTCATGGCCTGCTAGTACTGGGCAGGGATGTGTGCTACAGGTGGTAAAGCTCAGACACCTATGGTTGTGGAGAGAGGTCTAGAGGAGCCTGTGTGCCAAGAGAGCTGGGTGGCCAGGATCTATCTGGTCCCTCTCATACCAGGTCACAGCTCACTGGGAGAAGTTCATGGCTGCCCTGGGCCCCGAAGAGAAGGCTGAGAAAGTCCAGGCAGACTTTGTGAAGTCTGCCATTAGGCACGTGCACTATGGACCGGAGTCCCTGAGCGAGTTCACCCAGTGGCGGGTACGTCTTCACCCCACTGTTCGGGAGTCCCTTTCTCTAGTCTTTGCTGGCTTCTGTGGTTCTCAGCTGCCCTAGAGGTCTCTGGCCACAGTGGGGGAGCTGGGGAGGTAGTTCTGTTGGCTGGAGAGGTCCTTTCCTAACTTGAGAGGCACACGCTCCCTGTGACCAGGTGTCTGGGGAGGGGCTGGGGGCTCCTATGACTGCCCAGCAGCCTGAAGGCCTGGCTCATCCAGGTGCAGATGATCTCTGAGGAGCTGGCAGCTTCCCATGGGACAAGGGTGAGTGAGTCTAACACCCCAGAGAGTTCCCTAGGCGTGGCGGCTGCCTTCAGGCCCAGGGTGAGTATGGTGCTGTGTGGTTGGCAGGTTCTCTCATGGTCCTGCTTGCCCGTGGCAGCTGCTGGAAATCAAGAAGTCAGCATGAGCCCAGGAGTTCCCCCTGCCCAGGTGTCAGTCAGCTTTCTGTCGATGTGATAACACACCTGAGATAACCAGCTTCTGAGGAGGAAAGATTTATTTTAGCTCACAGTTTGTCTATGGTCACTTGGCCCTGTCAGTTTGGGCCTGTGGTGGCAAAGTATGTCCCAGCAGGTGCATGTGGTAGAAGTGGCCAGGAATGAGAGACAGAGAAAAAGGGAGAGAGATAAAGGGATGGGGCCCAGTACCCCTTCAAGGGCACACTCCAGTGCCCTAACTTCTTCCACGAGGCCCCACCTCCCCCTAGTGCCACAGGCTGGCAGCCAAGCCTTTAGCATACAGACCTTCGGGGGACATTAAAAGATCCGAACCTCAACACTGTGCAGGCTCCCTCCCTGCCCCTGAACCAACCCTTGCTGTCTGCCCCCGGGAGGGGAGGGCACAGTCCAGTGTGCAATCAGGAAGGGGGCGGCCCCGGCGAGGGTCCAATGGTCATGAGGCTCCCTCCACAGGCCAGGCTAGCAGCCGTGAAGCGGCTGGGTGATGTGCCGCTCAGACTCTCTTCCACCAAGCGGATGTGTACCTCCCTGCCGGCCCAGGTGGAGGGCAGCCCAGCGGGCCTCAGTGACAGCCAAGTAAGCTGGTAAGGTGGCAGGGAATGTGTCAGACCAGGTGCTGGGACAGCCTTGACCCCCTGTGCACCCACAGCCTGCCCTGCAGATGGAGCCCCTGCACTTCCTGCAGTGCCACAGCAGGAACAACAGCCCTCAGGACCTGAAGACCCAGCTATGGGCCTGCGCCTTCGAGCCCGCCTGGGAGGAGGGTGCGTGTTGGGCCAGATGGGTACTGGGAGGGCGAGGACCACACAAGTATTCTCTGTGGGGCCATGGGGATGCCACCTTTGGACGGAAAGGAAATTGGGAGCGACAGCCTAAAAAGTGTCATAGAGAACCAGGAGTGAGTGATTATAGCACCACCTGTAATCCCAGCACTCTGAGAGTCTGAGGCAGGAGGATCCCGAGTTGGAGTCTGCCTGAGCAGCTGTGGGAGACGCTGGCTCAAAAATGAATAAAAGGGGCTGGAGATGTAGCTCAGCATGAAGGTCCTGGGCTCAGTGCCCAGCACCACAAAAGTGTCGTTGAGGCCAAGAGGAGGGAGCTGTAGGGGTCTTTATGGAAAGGTTTCACATTGCTGACCCCTCAAAACAGGGTGTTCCGAGGCCACATCCCAGACGGTGGCCACGTGTGGCGGGGAGGCTGTGTGTGTGATTGACTGCCAGACGGGTATTGTCCTCCACAAGTACAAGGCTCCTGGGGAGGTGAGTGCAGGGCCCTGTTCCTGCACATGGGAGCCCCTGGTCTAGGGTTGGAGGTCAGGCTCAGCCACCTACTTGTCAGGACACTTTGTCATGCTGGGAAGTGAGTCTTGGCCTCATACGGGCAAGTGCTCCATTGCTGAGCCACATCCTAGTCCTCCATGGCTGTTGGCTCATGCTGGACCTTCCCTTCCCAAGGCCTTGTCTTGTAGGCACATTCACACTTGTAGCTCTGCTCTGGTGACCGCTCCTCCCGCTTTCCCCCAGGAGTTCTTCTCAGTGGCCTGGACAGCCCTGACAGTGGTCACACAGGCTGGCCACAAGAAACGTTGGAGCATATTGGCAGCAGCAGGCCTTCGAGGCCAGGTCCGCCTACTGCATGTGCGTGCCGGCTTCTGCTGTGGAGTCATCCGGGCCCACAAGAAGGCCATTGCCACCCTCTGCTTCAGCCCCAACCATGAGACCCACCTCTTCAGTAAGACGCTCTCCCCGCCTTGAGACTTCCCTGTACCCCAGTCCTGCTGCCTGATGGGGCTCAGTGTTCCCTGGGGTGGTAGGGGGCTCAGGTGACCACTGGCCCAGCCTGGGCCTCTGCATTCAACTCTAGCTCTGGTAGGACACGATGTGGCTTCATGGTTGACTGACTGGGCTTTGGATCCCAGCTTTATCCTCCAGGACTTATCTGTGGCCTTGCAGTTTCCTGGGAACCAGGGCCATTCTGTTCCTGTTAGCAGCCTGCGAGAGAGACACCCCTGGCCTCTCCAGCTATGGTGAACCCTACTGAGTGAGCTGCAAAAGGCAGCTGCAGTGCTGGGCCCATTACCCAAGCAGGACAGTGGGGACTGTAAGCCAGTCACCCCATCTCCTAGCCTTGCCCTCTCTGCCCAAGACCCCAGTCTACCTGGGATGCAGCCTGCGGGAGGGAGCAGGGCCTCCTCAGGACTGCTTCCCCCTGCAGCGGCCTCCTATGACAAGCGGATCATCCTCTGGGACATCGGTGTGCCCAACCATGACTATGAGTTCCAGGCCAGGTGAGGCTGTGGGCAGGCCTGGGGCGGCACCAGCTGCTGGGGCAGGTTACCTGGGCACCAGGACTCATGCTGGTCCCTCACCTCCTGGCAGTCAGCTCCTCACACTCGACTCCACCTCCATTCCCCTGCGCCTCTGCCCTGTCGCCTCCTGCCCTGATGCCCACCTGCTGGCTGGCTGTGAGGGTGGCTGTTGCTGCTGGGATGTGCGGCTGGACCAGCCCCAAAAGAGGAGGTGAGGCTGGTGGGGAACTGGAGGGCCAGGCTGGGCAGTCGGCCACTTGGACTCCCGGCAGCCTCTGGGGCCTCTCTCACCTTGAATGTGGCACTTCACAAACACTGCTGTGACCTGCCCACCAAGCCCAGTGCTACTCCTGTGGGACCTTTCTCTGTCCTGGCCTAATGTCCTCCTTGATCTGTAAAGAGGGAAGAGTACTTTGCATCCCAGGATTAGTGGCGGGTACGAGATGGTGAGGGGGCTGTAGAAGGCCAGGTGGAGACTGTCTCATCTGTACCCCTTGAAAAGCTCCTGGCCAGGGCTCAGTCCCCTCTGTCCCTGGTCCTAGCATGTGGGTCCCTGCCCTCAGCAGCACAGGATAGTGAGACACAGGCATCAAACAGTGGCAAAACCCTACAGATACCATCAGCAACAAAGGGAAAGTAACGTGGAGGTCCCCTTGGAAGGGGACTGCTGAGGTGACAGGTGGTAGACAGTTCTCAGGCTGCTCCCAGGGCACCTGAGTCCATCAGCCAGGTGTATTGGGGGGGGGGTGCCCAGTGGGAGCAGCATGGCCCCAGTGAGGGGCATGCCAGCTGGCATTAGATTCTGCATGTTATCCTAACCACAAGTAGCAGCTGAGTGCTTGTGGTGGCTGTGGACTTTGCTGTTCTCAGCCAGCTGTCCCTGACCCACCTGGAATTACCCCTGGCCCTGCCTCCAAGCCGTCTCTCCCCTTGCCTCAGATGTGTCATCTCCTTGTGTCCTCTGGTACTTAGTTCAGGCCCACCCTGTTAGGTGCTAGGCTGCCTCTCCAAGGCCCTGAGCAGGCACAGGTGTGACCACAAAACAGCCACCCGCTCTGCTCCTGTCCTAGCATATGCCCAGGTGCTGCCTCCCCTTCAGGGTGAGGCTGAACTCCAGAAATGCAGCTTTTGCTGATGTCCAAGGCAGGGCCCACAGTAGGTGCCCAGCAGACCCAGAGGTGGCTAAGTAGCTCCTTGTGTGGGCAGAGCAGCCAGCCTTGCCTTCTGCTGCCCACAGGGGGTGTGAGGTGGAGTTCGTCTTCTCCGAGGGCTCCGCACCGGCACGCAGAGTGGATGGGCTGGCGTTTGTAAATGAGGACGTCATAGGTGAGTGCACCCACCCTAGGACAGCCTGGCTTCTGAGACACACATGGGTCACTTCTTGGGTTGGGGCATCTTCAAGGGGAGCAGGAAGAGTGGTGATGACCCAGCCCAGGCCTGAGTCTCTTCTTCCCACAGCCTCCAAGGGGAACAGCCCAGGCACCATCTGCCTGTGGAGCTGGAGTCAGACATGGCTGCACCGGGGCAGCCAGTCCTTGGTGGCTGTGGTTGTCCTGGCTCGGCTGCAGTGGTCACCCACCGAGCTGGCCTACTTCTCGCTCAGCACCTGCCCTGGTGAGCCTGCCCGCCCTGCTCCCACCTCCACCACTGCCCACCACTGCCCCACCCTAAGCCCCCTTGTCCCATAGACCAAGGGATTGTGCTCTGCGGAGATGAGGAGGGCAGCGTGTGGGTCTATGATGTCAGGCACCTCCTGACGCAGCTGTCTCCACCGCCAGCACCCCCGCAGGCCCCCACACAGGTACTGTCCCTGGGCACCGGCCCAGGCTGGGGCGGGCACAGCCAGGGCCCTGGTGTCCAGCCCCCTCTCTTCCCACCAGATCCTTAAGTGGCCCCAGCCAGGGGCCGACGGCCAGCCAGTGACCAAGACTATGGTGAACATGGTGGTGGCCAACACTGCTTTCACCTACCTTGCGGCTCTGACGGACTCCAACATTGTAGCCATCTGGAGGAGATGTTAGCAGGGCAGGACGCCTGCCTCTGTGGCACAGGACCAGGGACACATTTAACTCATTTAGTGTGTGGCTTACAGTGAGGGTTTTTTGAGGGGTTTTTTTATTAAATTTTCTGCTATAGCCAAGCAGCCTGTGGAGAAGTGCGTGGCGTCCTGCAGGCCCATCCTGGTTCCTGCTGTAAGTCAGGCGGGCTTGGCTGCTGTACTTTCAGAACAGTGAGCACAGGCTCTCGGGTCCCTTCTACTCCAGACCACCTCCCCAGCAGCCCTCAGGTTCCAGAATCAGGATGTGACAGGTTATCTGCCCTCATGGACCTCATGGTCCACTTGCCGTGAAGTCACCTCTACTTCATGCCCCACTGGAGTAGAAACAGGACCCGTCAGGGCTGGGTTCACGGCTGGGCCTGGCTGCTGTCCTCTGCATGGTGCCTAGAGCAAGGGTCTGGTAGGGGCAGGGACTGGGCTCCCAGGCCACACGAAACTTTAGCCACCTACTCAATCCCTTCTTGTTTGTCTTTGATGGCCACCTGGGGAATAGGAAAAAGGCACTAGTTAGCTGAAATGGCCAGAGCAAGGGTGTTGCAAACAGCTCCAGTGTCCCTTGCCCAGGGTCCACCAGGAAATGGGTACCATGAGACCTGAGCAGAGCCAGCAGCAGGAGGGGACCCACAGCTGGCCCTGAGCGCCCCTTTCCTCCAGCACCTGCTGATACTGCCCAAGTCAGGAGGGGGAGGGGGCCTGCCTGGGGGGAGCACATGTCATACACACTAGGTGGAGGTCTCCGAGCTGTGGCTCTTTCCCACTCTGAGCAGCTCTACACTCTGTGGCCCCCTGCTTTAGACAATGTGACTCCCACCCTGGGATGAGCTGGCCCCTAGACCAACGCCTAGAAGCAGACAAGCCTTGCAAACGAGAGCACCCCACAAGGGCAGGAGGTGCCCAGGCCCATAGGGAACACAAGGAGACCCTGGCTACTAGGGAAGGTACCTGACTGGGTAGCAGACAGCAGGCCTCAGCTCACCACAGCCGCCAGTCACCCCCCAACCAAGGAAGCCACCCAGGGGCTGTCTTTGGTGGGGGCCTGCCGGCCAGCATCCCACCCACCCAGCCCACACAGGGCACTATGCCTCACCCGGAACCGCTCCTCCAGCAGGGAAAGCTCGCTGATGAGGTCAGTGATGGCATTGGTGAAGGCCTCCTGGGGGCTATAGTCTGGGGTGGTCTGCACACGGATGATGATCTTGTGCTCCAAGGGATGGGGGACTTTGTAGCCAGCAAACAGCACCTGTGGGTCCTTCAGCAGCTGCCTGAGCCAGGGACAGGTGATGTGAAGGAAGCCTTGGGGCTCTTTTTTTTTGGTACCAGGGATCAAACTTGGGACCTTGCACTTGCAAGGCAGGTGGTAGAACCACTGAGCTAAATCCCCAGCCCTAGGGCTCTTCACTCACCTGGTTTTCTGGCCAGGACTTTCCCCAAAAGTCTCAAGACACAACATTTGGGGACCCCTCCACAACACACACCCTGCATCTACGGGGCGTGAGGTCTGCAGCTAGGAAATGGCTTCTGGTGACCTTCTCTGAGGCAAACGCAGACCTGCCTCTATCCCCACAACTACCCAGCAGAGCAGCGGAAGAGAACACAAAGCCCCATCCCCAGTCCTAAAAGCATCAGCACAGCAAACCTGGGGGCGGCAGCTTCAAACAGCCAATGAGATGGAAATGGGGTTCCCAGGCCTCACAGCTGGCAGTGTTGTCCATACACTAGGCAGGCCCTGCTCAGTGAAGCAGCAGGGAGGTGGGGGAACTGAAGCCTGTCCCATATTCTGTTCCCTGAGCATGGCAGAGAGCCCAGGGCAGCTCAAGGCCAAGTGGGAGCACACAAAGGAGACCTCTGGCCAGGAGTGGTGACACAGGCCTATAATCCCAGTGCTCTGGGAGGCTGAGGCAGGAGGATCACAGATTCAAGCCCAGCCTGGGGAACTTAGTGAAACCTGGTCTCAAAGGGTTGGTTGGGAATGAAGATCAGTGTGAAGGCCCTGGATTCGATTCCTAGTACTGTAAGAAGAAAAAGGAGGTCTCTGCACAGAAGGGAACCCTGACCTGGCTCACATCAGGCCCTGGAAGAGCTGGGCACCGCAGTGGCTTGGCTTAGGGCAGGAGGCATGCAGAAGACGGGCATCCCCAGGCCCTGGACAATGGGCACTGCTGCCCACGACCTCCAACAGGGCAGCCTGGGAAAGCTCACGCCTCTCCTCTACCCTAGATGCCTCCACATCTAGAAGGAAGAGCTCAGTCTTTGCAAGGAAATGATGTCCTGGGCTCAGGACACTCCCCTGTCGACTTAGCTGGGATTTCACTGGTATAAACAAACACCCCATAGCCTCCGTGGAGTACCCAGGGGAGACACTGGATAGCCTCAGAATGTCCTTCAACTTTCTCACCTTGTTCTACAGAAGTCACAGTTACTGCCACAGACATCTCAGAGTGCTAGCTGTCACTGAGGTCACTGTCACAGGGAGGGGTGGGGGAGCTAATTTTGACTACTTCGTGATGCCCACTAGCACGAACACCCGAGTAGGCTTCTTTCCTACGGCTTGCTGCACAGTCGCTCGCTTTAGTCACCCAGATGAGCCAATGAAGCACCAAGCCCTACGTGAGGTGACATGGTTAATAGCATTTTGGAAAGGCAACTGTGAAATTGTAGAATACTAGAGCAGGCACTAGGAAGCATTTCCTCTCACTCTCGGTACTTGTACCTGACCCCTTAAACAAACCCCACCACCACCACCCCCTCTGTCCTGGAACTTACGATTTAATGATGTTCCCAAGGGTGTGGTCTTCTTTGTTGATGGTGAACAAACAGGCATTGGGTACCTTGGTGTCCTTGTTAATGGTGATCCTAGGAAGTGGCAGAGACAGCAGATAAGGACGGGGCTCCCCTGCTGCTCCCCCATATCTAAAGCCTGCCTCCTCCCTGAAGCCTTGCTCCATCTGTCCCTCTCTGAGGGCTGGGGTGTAGCTCAGCAGAAGAGCATGAACAAGGCCCTGATTTCATCCTCAGCACCACAAACCAACCAACCCGAGACAGCACAGTGTCTGTACCCCTGGCACCTGCTGACCTGGTAGAACCTTGCCTACTCTGCATTGCTCCTTTTTCTAAAGAAGAGCTTCTCAATTTCAACACTATGGACATTTTACCCAGCTCGCTCTTTCTTGTAGGGAGCTAGCTTATAGGATTTCTGGTGTGGTTTTTTTTTTGGTTTTTTTTTTTGGCCCTAAGTGAGGTACTTCCCCAACCCTTAATTATCAGACAGGGGCCAGGTGTGGTGGCACGCACCTGTAATCCCAGTACTTGGGAGGCTGAGGCAAGGAGGATCACTAAGTTAGAAGCCAGCCTGGGTACACACAGTTCAAGGTCAGCCTGAACTAAAAGCAAACCCTGCCCCAAAACAAAACAAAAAAATTAGGGTTTTGCCAACTCACTAAGTTGCCCAGTCTGGTTTTGAACTTGGCAATCTTCCTGCTTCAGCCTCCGAGAGTCCTGGGGTTACAGGCTTGAGCCACCGTGCACTGCCTGAATGTGGTTTTAATCCTCCCATTTGAGCTGCACTCAATTCAATGTGGGGCATTAACAGCATCTCTGGTCCCTACCCACTAGATGCCAAAAACAAGGCTGACACTTGTGACAACCACAGATGTTTCCAGACATTCCCAAACAGCCGCGAGGGGACAAAATGCGTCCCAGTTGAGCGCCTCTGCCCTAAAGGAGGCTGCAGTGCTGGCACGGGCCAGAACATCATAAGAATGGGAAGGCCAATACTTCAACAGGTTTCCAATGTGCTCAATCCTAGACTCAAACTACCTCCTCTAATCTCTTGTAGAAAATTCTGTGAGTAAATATAGTAAATAAAGAGCTGGCCATAGTGGCACACACCTGTAATCCCAACACTACAGAGGCTGAGGCAGGAGGATCACTGAGAGTTCAAAGCCAGCCCAGGCTACATAATGAATGACACCTGGTCTCAAAGAAAAAAAAAAAGGAACAGGACAACAAAACCAGTAACAAGTCCATTTTTCAAATAAGGAAACTAAATCTCAGCCAAAACAAGAAACAGTCCATAAACAGGGCACCCAAGAACCAAGCCCAAGCTGTCTGACCGTTGGGCTTCAACCTGCGGGCAACAGAATCACTACAGGCTTTACATTAGCAATGACACACAGGGGTCAGCTCCGGAGCCATCGCTGGCTGCTACACTGAGGATGGAGGTGGTGGGAGACAAGAGAGGCGGCTGACAGGTCTCAGAGGAAAAGAACTTTGGAGCCAGACTCTGGGTTCCAGTACAGGCTCCGCCACTTCCCAGAGCTCACAGAAAGTTACTCAACTTCCCCGTGCCTCAGTTTCCTCATGAGCAAAATGGGTGCAGTCGACACTGCCTTCCTAGGCTGCCTTAAATTCGGCAGACACGGGCCGGACCAAATCTACTCTGCAGCCGGGCGTAGTAGCGCACGCCTGTAATGCCAGCACGGGAGACCGAGGCAGGAGGACTGGAAGTTCGAACCCAGCCTGGGCAACTTACTGAGTGAAACCCTGTCACAAAATTTAAAAAATAAAAAAATAAAGAGCTGGGAACGTAGCGAAGGCCCTGGGTTCAATTCCCAGTACCTAAAACAAATTGCTCGGTCCCCCTGGTAGGAGAAGCCCCAGAAACCGCAGAAGCCGACCGCCGACGGGCAAGGCCCGAGAGACTCGGTCCGCCTCTACGCGCCCCAGCAGGTTCCACTTACTTCTTCTCGCCCTCGAAGAGCAAGAACGACTCGAAGGCTGGAGGGGCATTCATCCTGGCGCCACAGGACCTTCCACTCTCGAAAAGGCCGCCGACGTCACAGCCCTACGACGCAACTTCCTTCCGGTTAAACCCGCGCAGTTCAAGCACCGCCCCATCGCCTCCTGTCGGACTGGAGGACTCTACGCAGGCGCGGGAAAGCCCGAGGGTGGCCGCGGGCTCTGCGCATGGGTCATCCCTGCAGCGGCCTCCCCAGTGGGTGCTTTTGGCGCATGCACGGAGCACTAGAGGGGCGGCGCTGCTTCTGCCGAGACGTCGGTTCAAGCTAAGCTGTGTACCTCTCGGCTTCTCATACCCTGATCTCTCTGAAAACGTGCATTGGAGTGGCAACTGAATAGAGAATGGAGCCAGGGGGTAAAAGGCAGTTGTGGCTGACAGCAGGAAGTCCAGGGAGTTGCACCCTCCTGGCCAGGGGAATGTGTATGGATACCTGTGCCATCTGCTTCAAGACCCCAGGCTGAGTGTCACCGGCTTCGCCGTAGCGGACAACTGGGTGAAGGTTGGGGAAGGAGGCAAGCGTATACAAATGTAAGAGGTGCTTGGAGCGATACGTGTATTACCCTCGGTCCGACTGCTGGATAGTATAAAGTTTAGTATTAAAGGCTCTAACTGAGCTGTTTGAAACAAGAAGAGCCGGGGTGGGGAGTTTAGCTCAGTGGTTCCGCCGCCTGCGTCGCAAGCGCAAGGACCTGAGTTCGATCCCCGGTACCAAAAAAAAAAAGAAGAAGAGCTGGGAGCTCAGATAAGCTACAGAGCCCTAACATCCTGGCGACTGTTGCTCCAGGCCAGGCAGCCCCCAAGGGAATCTGGAGCTTACGCCACTAACTCCGTTTCTCTCTTGAAGCCTTGAGCCTTGGGCTGAGGAAGTGTCACTCTTTGAAGGAAGCACACACAGGCCAAGTGATGGGAGCTCTGTGAGAGGTGGGCAGTAGAAAGCAATGCGGGTGAGGATGCCCCAGTGTAACCCCCATCCTTGCGGGTCATCTTGGAAGAACTGCAGTCAGGGATGCTGCAGGGGCCTGCAGGTGATGACAGTGACCACCCTCCATTGGACTTTGCCCACCAGGGGCCTCTCCGTCCCTGGCTCTGTGGAAGTTTGATCTATCATAGAGAGTTCTGATAACACCCGCCTCTTAATTCCCAGATCAATGAGATGTGGTTTCCCAGAGACATCAGTCTACAGTATTTCCAGTGGCTCTACAAGGCCAAGTGAGCATTCCCATCCTCTCGTAGACAAGGAGAGACAGGTCTGCTTGGCACAACCACAGAAGAGGCTGCTGGTGCATACAACATTTAGAAAAATTGCATCACCTTGGAAAGAAGGTGAAGGGGGGAGTGTGCGGCGTGTATTATCAGTGTCACACCAGAGACACCGTTGGACACATCTGCCCGCTTTATAGGGCAGAGGTGGGCACACTTCAGGGCCTGCACAGGACCAGAGCCAGCCTTCCACCTGTTCTTGTAAATAGTTTATTGGAACATGCATCACCTGCATTTCTTTCCCCACTGTCTGCAGCTGCTTTTGTGCCATGTGGTAGAATAGGTGTGACCTAGACCTGCCTGCCTGACCCTTTACAGTCTGCTGATCCTAATCTCGGGAACTGTGCCTATCTTTGGCTTTGCTATTTATTCAGTTAACCCCAGATACTGACATTAAAGCAAACTATTTACCAGTTTTCAATCTAGCAGCACAGTCTTATCCTAGCTTTCTTCTCAAAATGCTCTATGAATCAGCTTTCCCCAACACTTTGCAGTACTAGGAAATGAACCCAGGGCCAGAGCCCCTTTTTTTATTGTTTGAGGCAGGATCTCACTAAGTTGCCCAGGTGGGACTTGAGCTTATCATGATCCTTCTGCCTCAGCCTCCCTCAGCGCTGGGATTACAGGTGTAATGCAGGGCTTGAATGTGGTTTTAAGCATCCAGATTGGAACTCTGAACTGAAGGGCCAACTCCTCTCTATGTGCCTTACTTTCCTGACCTTGGGCAAAATACTACTCTTGCCTAGTATTTTTTTTTTTAATGCTGTTAATAGGCTGACAGGTAAGAAAGAAATGAATGGATGTAGAGAACACATTAGAGCAGTGCCCACCTGCAGGGGGTCTTGTCTGTCAGCTGCTGCTGCTAGGAGCCAGGCTTTGGCAAGGGGGCACTGGGACAGGAGGCTGAGTAGACTGGCACCTCCCTCAGAGGCATGAAGGCCTCACCCACCCTGCCCCCAGGCTTCCCCAGCAGCGCCATCCTGTGGGCCTGCAGCCAATCAGCCACAAGGGGCAGGGTGCAGAGGGGACAGGAGCCCCACCCCCATCACCTGCTGCTCAGCCTTCCTAGGCCCCTCAGCTGTGTCCTTGGGGACTGGTCTTCACTGCTAGGCAGAGGCTGTGAGCTCCACCTGGGCCTTGTGGGTGGCTTCAGAGGACTGGGGGGCCAAAGACCAGCAGACCACTCCCAGGCTGCCCGGGACGAAGCCCTGAGAGTCCCAGCCTCCAGGTGAGGGGACTAGGGGTCAGAGACATCCTGTGGGGCGTCTAGCAAGGAAGGGGTCAGACACATCCTGTGGGCCAGGGCTGGCTATGGGCTCTGGGGTCTAGGTGTGACAGAGGGGATGGCCTGGCCAAGGCACGTTGAGACTAGTCACTAGTCACAGCTGGGAGCTCAGTGTTGGCGACTCTGCCGGGCCCACCCTCAGCAGGGTATAAGGGGACGTCTCCAGGGCCACTGGGGAGGGGGGCCTCGTGTGACAGCTGCTCCAAGGAGAGAGGTGGCACTGGGAAGACCCGTGGAGCCCAATAGCCTGTGCAGATGTAGGACCAAGGTACTGACCACAGCTAGGAGGAGAAAGGAGCCCTGGCACCAGGAAAGGACAAGCAAAGGTGGGGGAGAGATGCAGAGGCTCTGTTGGATCCAGTCCTTGGCTGCAGGCCCAGCAGCCTCTGGGCTCCCCTGGACCCCCATTCAAGACCTCAGAGCCTTGGCAGTCTAGCAGGTTTATTGTGGTTAATGGAGCACTGTGACACTGCACCCTGGGGGCAGGCAGTGCCAGGAAGGAGTGAGGGGGCAGTGAGGTGCAGGCCCAGTCTCCTGGGCCGACACCGTCATAGGAGTGGCTGTGGGCTGGGTCTGCCTGGGACGTTTCCTGGAGACTGTGGGTCAGGGACAGCAAGGGCAGCAGGGGCGCAGGGAGCAGCCAGGCCTCTTAGAGGACCACAAGCCCCCTACGGCCTCAGACTTCAGGTGGCTGTGACAGCCCTCCCCAGGAGACACCCAGGCCCACCCTGCAGCTCAGATGCCTGGCAGGGTCAGGCTTGGTGCCTGCTCACGTCTGCAGCTCCAGGGCACAGTGGGGCTCTGAGGAGGGTGGGTGGGCTCAGCTGAAGCTGTGTGACACCCGGAGGTCCTGCAGCACCCCAAGCAGTGCCACCAGGGGGTCCTCAGGGGCTGGAGGCAGAGGGGCCGTGAGGGCAGCTGGCAAGGTTCCCACAGCCCCCCAGCCCCCCAAGAGAGTCCCGGCTGGGAGGAACCTACCTTTACCAGGGCCTGCGGGCACTGTGCCTGTCTCTGAGGTCCTGCTCAGCTCCCGGTGCTTCTCCCTGTGGGGAGGACAGGGTGACGGCCATGGCCACAGCCGGGCTTGCTGGGGGGCAGGGTGACCCCGTGTGGGCCTTCTGAGCCCACTCAGTGCCGACTCGTGATCTATACTCATGACCCTACCCCGTAAGTGTGGGTCAGTTAGCAGCCTCTCTGCAGCCCAAGCCAGAACCTCATTGCTGGGATTTGTGGGGCAGTGGGGATCTCAAAGTCCCCATCTCATCTCAACTCACCTTGGAATGAATTGCCTATTGGTGTTGTTTTTCTTTTTTTTGGATACCAGGGATCGAACTCAAGACCTTGTGCCTTTGAGGCAGGCGGTGGCACCACTGAGCTAAATCCCTGGCCCTGCCTATTGGTTTTTTGGGGGTGCTAGATAGGCCCCAGGGCCTCACACATGCTAAGTGTGTCATCTAACACAGAGCCACATCCAGCCCTGAAGTTCCTCTGTTTTTAATTTTTTTTCTTAACCTTTTTTTTTTTTTGGTACTGGGGATCGAACTTGGGACCTTGTGCTTGCAAGGCAGGTGGCGGAACCACTGAGCTAAATCCCCAGCCTTTAATTTTCTTTTCTTTTTCTTGTACAGGGGATCGAACTCAGGACCCTGTGCTTGCCAGACAGACGTGGTGCAACTGAGCTAAATCCCTGGCCCTGTTTGTTTTTTTTAGTACTAGGGATCTAACTCAGGACCTCGAGCTTGCAAGACAGGCGGCACCACTGAGCTAAATCCCCAGGCCCCCTCATTTGTTTTTTCTTGTTGTTTTTTTTTTGGTAGCGGGGATCGAACTTGGGTCCTTGTGCTTGCACAGCAGGCAGTGAAACCACTGAGCTAAATCCCCGGCCCCCTTGTTTGTTTTTTGAGACAGAATCTTGCTACATAGCCCAGGCTGGCCTTGAACTCACAGTGATCCTTCCTCCTGCCTCAGCCTCCTGAGTACTGGGATACAGGCATGCACCATGATGCCTCCTAGGCTAAATTTCCTTAAGGGGTAGAAGATAGGTTTAGTTTTGGTTTGGTTTTGGTTTCAGTCCTGGGGATTCAATCCAGGGTCTCTGCACAGCGCTACATCCCCAATTCGTTTTTATTTTGAGACAGGGTTACTAAATTACCCAGGCTGGGGTCAAACGAAATTCTCCTGCCTCAGCCTCCCAGAATGGTGGGATTACCAGCATGCACCACCACACCCAACTTAAGCAGTTTCTAACGGGGATCCTGGAGCCTGCCAGATCTTGCTCTGTGTTTCCAGGAGGACGGTGAGCAGGGTATGGTCTCAGGCTACGTGCCACTTATTCCAAGGTTCTTGGGGCTCCTCCCTCTTACCCTATCCCTGCTGTTTTGGGACAGATGTGTCCTCTGCTATGGCCTAGCAACTCCTCTTCCAGGCCCTGCAGTGCCAGCCCAGCATGCTTTCCCACTTTGCTGGGACAGCATCCATATTTTTGCCAAGTGGC